CCCTGTTTATAAGCCCACCCAAAAACACCTTTTGAAGTTACATAATCCCAGGGCTTTTCCAGGGATTTTACGGTATCTTCACTGAGGAAAGAACTTGTTCCTGCATCAACGGCCAAGGACCTTGGGATTATGCTGACCGTCAAATTATCTTCAAACACCTTGTTTTAAAAACCGTCTCGTCTTGTGTGGCAAGCCTAGCGAAAATTAACCGTGTTAAGCAATCGCAATCAGCTAGCCACGATAATTTATGCGTCAGCCTTTAGCAGATTACTTTATTGTTCTGCTATGTGGTCGAAAAACTCTAAACTTGGCCGCACGCATTATTGCAAGAACTAGGAAATCTTACCACAAATTGTCCACATTGGGTGCCGATAAAACATGTAGGGTATGGGACAATCTGTTTCTGGTCTCTCTTTAAGAAAAGCATTTAGAAAAAGGCGCTTCGAGTTGTTCTGTTTCTCTGTATATTCACTGATCGCTTCGTTTCGATATGCAAGAACCGCAAACAGTTTCAGTCGCTGCACGATCTCCATGTTCATAACAAGTTTCTCGTTGTATCGGTAGTCAAAATAACTTCTGTCACTGCTCGCTACGCTCCAAGCTGTTTTGTCACTGTATTTATGATTATTTCTAACGATGCCGTGGAGTGGTTGTTTCTGTAAGCAAGTTCAAGGTTACTTTCTTGGCTGGTCGCCACACATTAAATTGGCTACCTGCTATTCAATATTGTAGGGAAAAAAACTGATCGTTGACCTGGCATCTCTTCGGATGTTCATTTTCAACGCCTCCAATCTTTTATAGCCTTGCTTGCTATGTTCTCTATATTCCCCAAACCGTTCAGAAACTGCGTTTCCCAGTGAATTTTGTCACTGCGGAGATGATTATCGCGAACAGGCTTCACTATTTCTTAGTTTTCCCTCGATCTTGTTGTTTAAAGGAGCTCAGTCACGGTTTGCACATTTTGAAAAGTTTAGCCTAAAATTTTCAAATTCGTCGTTTGCAATCCGTGTCAATCTTCGCCATCCTTGACCATCCTTGTTCCTTTATGGTTTATTATTATCTCTTTGATGTTTTTCTATCTTTGTAAACTATTATTTTCAGGTTTCCTTCCATTTAAAGGAGATTTTTGTACGTGGCCAAAACAAAAACAAAACAAAAACAAAAAAACAAAAAAAAAAACAAAAAAAAAAAGGACAAAGCACCGTGACTGAGCTCCTTTTAACAGTTATGGTTAATTGGTAACAGGACAATAGTGTCGTCCAATATTGTCCGTTATCCTATTCGTGATTAAACTCAGACCTCATTAGGCCCAGTCTACACTAGACACTACGCCGGAGGAATTTGAAAAGGCAACAATCGCCGGTCCCTTTGGATTTGTGTTTGAGGAAAACTCGGTCAAGGAAATCACATGACTATCGTGACGTCATCGTTTTCGAAAAGCTCCGTTTTCAAAGTGTTTTTTGTCCACCCTAAAACGCAAAGTCGGCGTTTTCAAATTCCTCCGGTTTGAAGAGTGTTTTCGGAAAGCTCCTTTTTCGCGACGGATTAGTGTGGACGGTAGGTCTAACCGAAGAGATAAACCACGTTTTCAAATTCCTCCGGCGTAGAGTGGATAGGGCTTTATACTCCACTCAGTCCTAGAGTGGTTACTTACTTTCGGCTCAGTTCAAGTTAATGATGTCAACGGTTGGAAAATAATACAGGCACCATAAGAATGTCAAAATGTTGTTCATTTTATTTCATCGATTCGTGTCACTACAGTTTTTTGTTAGTGTAAAAATCGTTTAAGAGTCTTGAAGTATTCCGCGTCAACGAAGTCTCTCATTTCATCGACTGTGACCCAAACGTGATCAAAATAGTCTTCATGTAGCCTGACACATCCTGTCACATAGTTAACTTTGTAGAAGAACACCTAAAAGATGACAAAGAGATGTGTTAAAAGGACGGCACAGAATTCTCACAGTCAGACTCTGTTATGGAAAGCTTTCCTCTTTAGACCCTCCGCCTGATTAGGCATATTTTATACTATGGACATTTATCTGTATCGTTTTTGTGACAATGTAATTTGTTTTATTATTTATTTAGTTTTTTTTAGTTGCATACATGTACACGTTCGTATTTTGATCGAGGTTACTCAGCTCTTAGGTGCAACATGTTTAAATAAAGTGTTGATTGATTGGATTGATTGATTGATTGTCTGTCTGCTAATTTTCCCTGAAAAAATTGGAAGTTGGAAAAGCCTATTAACGAAATTTTTATTAAACTTGCCTTGTTACTCGTGTTCTTGTATTTTTTCATAACAGCAATTGGTGCATTGCTGAGGAATCGAACTTTTAAATCTGTGCCACAAATTTCACCTAAACTTCTTGATGCAACCTGGAATAACAAAATTCAAAAACAGTAAGCAAGTACTTTTTTGATGAGTTGTAGATTTACAGTATATTGTTATTTTATTTGAAACTTCACTAACTTAAGTCTTTATTTCAATTTTTATTAACAAAACTTCCATGTAAATCAGTGTCTAACAATTTGAATTTGTGGTCAATCTTGTTTGTTCCATCTGGTTTTAGTTCATTCGCTTGATTGTTCGTTCAGTAAGTAATGTGATGGGCAAGCATCCCATCCAGTCATCTAGAGAGGAGTAGAAATATTTTTTCTTCACTTGCATATAATTACTTCTACTCAATAGTCACTTCATGCAACAAACACTGGAGATACAGCTGTAAGCATCAGCCTGATGGGCCACTAGGCTTGAGTGTAGACTTAACCTTTCCTTCTGCAAACTGTTTTTTTTTTATTATACACATGTGTTTGCCCATTCAAATGAATGCGATTGTGCAGTGCTTTGACATTCTGTACTCTCTTTTTTTAATTTCTTGAAAAAATATGAAGGTTTCAGGAGTGTAAAGGATACATTTACCTGTTGAAGTGTGTCACGGGTATCTATAACTTCAGCATGTGGCACCTCCCATGCTGCTGCATCTTTTTGCCTCCTCACCAACAAAATCAACTTTTCTTGTAATTTACGATGCAGGGATTGGAGGTTGTTAAGTCTGTCGGCTTCTGTCTCCCGGCTTCCTGGCTCATACCTTCTCAATTCCTCTTCCTGCTCTTCTTCAAATTGCTGTCAGTGAAGAATGTACACATGAAGGTGAAGAAGATGATCAGGGCTGTCATTAAAATTTGAGCAAGCTCTTACATTGATCTTTACATCCGTAACAACTTCTGTTACTTTGTGAGTGAATTGTATCAACAACAGGTCAGTTCACCCGTAACATCAAGAGCCGATCAAGCCTACCCAGCCGTAGCATGTGTTAAGGGTTACAGTTCTTAATGACAGCCCTGGTGATCATCAAAAATTTGGACAGGAATTAACCTAAAAGGTGCTGCAATCTTATTTGTAACCTTTATGAGGTACCAAGGCCAAATTAAAAAAAAATCAGTTGGGAGGTCAAAAGCAAAAGCAAATTTCAAACTTTTAGCTCTAAAAGTGGTCACAGTCACTAACAAGAGGTGGTCAGTTACAAGAGGTCTTAAATATAGTGATTTGACTTGGAAACTTTGGTATTTTGGAAAACTGGTCGCTAAAGAGAGGTGGTTGCAATTGGAGGTTCGACTATAAGTACATAGTATTAGACCGTGAGTCTATCACCTTTAGCCACTTTGATATGCAAAAAATAACGTTGACTGAAAGGCCACCAAAACCACACACGCACACACACAAAAGGATCAGGGCAAAAAACTTCCACTTGTCCACCTGTCAGAGATGAGTACTCTTGTAACTCAGACAAGTGGATTTCCAAAAGCACTTGTCCTACGGGACGAGTAGAGTTTGCCAAAAAAAAGATGTTCTTTTCTACTGAGGTCTGAGATCCCAAGCATTTTGGACTTTGTAAACTAGCCTGAGTTTTGCGAAGTTTGGTTTCTTTTCACGGCAACTTACCCATTTTCGCCTCTGTTTTCCGAGAATATCTGGTTCTGTTGTTTCGGTAAATACTGGGATCCACATTCCATGTATGGAAATGACGACCTCGTTTGAGACAAGGCTTCATTAACACTTGAATGAGGTGATTACCGTTGTGGCAAGTTTTGTGATCATTAAAGTAAGTATGCATACAATGGCAAATCACCCATATATTGTTACACTAAATGAAATGTTATCCTTTTACAGTTTCGCACTATTTTGCGCATAAAAAAATTTCATAACAAAAAAGAGCATTGATGTATGCTTTCAGAAAATGCTGTCTTGTTTGTCAAATGTTTCTTTCAACAAAAGTAACATGTTCAGTTCCCCATTTACGCACCACCCAGCAAAAAGTAAACAAACTTAAATTGCATACATGTATGTGCTGAACAGCACATTCCCAGTACCATGATATGTCCACAATGAAATTCTGACCTTGTTTCCGAGAGAAGTGTAAATTCTGTGTTTGTCTTCCTTGAAGGAGACAGAAACTAGTTCAGCCAATTTCATTTTGTTGACTAGCCAAAGTGGCTAGTGGAAATCAACAGCCTACTAGCTGCAACTAAATTTCTACTAGTCTGTGGCTAGTTGGCTACCATTAGTGTCAAGCCCTGAAGCAAAATGTTTTCTGTTATATATGTATGTCATTTCTACATAAGTACAGTAGTTTGAAGCATGTCCATTTTTTAGGTTTAGCAGCTTCAGTGCATGACCCCTAATGGTTTCAAACTCTTTTTATCACCAATAATTTAGAAAGAAATTTATGCGACCTCTCTTTTAAAGCAAAGCATCTTTTCAAAGGGGCAATATTATCAATAGGCTAGGCTTATCACCCTAGCTGCTTAAAATACCTTTCTGTCTGCCTCGGATATTGCAATCACAATACTTTCATCATCATCTTCATCTTTAGCATTTTCCTTCCTTTCCATAATCTCTTTCCACTGGACTTCATCCTCAGACAGTGCACTGTGTTCAAGCTCTATCTGATGTTGAAGTTCTTCAAACTGTTTTTCTAACTCTGATTTTTCCTTAGTTATAACTGGCAAACGCTGTACACAGACGCCACTAAAAATCCTTGAACTACGAGGCTTTGGTTGAACAGAGCTATAGTTTCTTCTGTTTACAAAATCTGAAAGTATGCATCCTGAAATATTATAATACATGTAAGTGATCCATTGTGATGAACTGGGCTCGTCCCAGACCGTAAAGGGATTGCAATTATTTAAAATGCCTAAAATTTGAATACTGCTATGAAAGTAGCCCACAAACGCAGATGAATTTCTAATAAAAGCGTGAAACAAGAAGAAGAACTATACTATTTTTATAAAATACTCCCAGGTCTCTCATACGAACCAGACTAGCTGAAAATTCCTAGCTAAATATTTGTCGCTACCTGGTATTTTTACGTTGTCTTTCGTCCACAGAGGAGAACTTCGTGCGGCAAAACATGCTAACTTTCTAACCTGCCGACCGCTCTGAGCCGCCATTTTGAATTGCTTTGTAACCACGTCGCGCCGTGATGCCTGGTGGAAAATCGAACAAACATGGCGCTTCCAAATTTGAAGTGTTTGATTTCGCGAGAAAATTTACACCAAATAGGAACATTGTTTTTCCTTCATGGTGAAGGATACACCGCAGATAGCTCAAGAAAGGTTCTAAAATCTTTGCTTCACAGAGAATTCGATTTTGACCACCTACGAGTGATTTATCCACAAGCCCCTGACATCACGTACAGGGTCGCTACAGGAGGAGAAGATAAGGGTATGTGGTATGAGCGGAACACGTTTAGTCCCACTGATTGGGAGAAAATAGATTCGATAAACCATTCATGTACTTTGATTAGCCAGCTGATCAACCTGGAGAAATCTCGTGGGATTCCACTACAGAATATCATCGTCGGTGGATTTGGTATGGGGGGAATAATCGCCATGCATACTGCGTACAGGTAAGCTTATATTAAGATTTACTTTTGTTATAAAGACACGAGTGTTTTACTGGAAAATATACCACTCGTAAAATTCACACGAAACTGCATGTGGGACGCAAATGGCGTACTTTCCATATCCTCGCTAGTGAAGATATTGATGACGTCATTTCCCGCTTTTCAAAGTTGTTTGTGCAAAGAGTCAGTGTGTCTATATGATAAAAANATAAGGAAAATAGCTATACATTTATTAGTTAAATGCAATCAAACCTCCTGTAAGCAGACGCCTTAGGGACAAGAAAAATTTTCTGCATTGGAGAGGTGCCTGCATATGGGACAGATTATGTAACAAGACATTGCTTGGGGTGACAGTATATCAAACAAGGTGACAATGATGTGAATAATTACTTTTATGATGTCTGTTCTTCAGGTTTCACCCTGAAATTGCTGGAGTTTTCACACATTCCTCCATCTTGTCGCCAAGATCGATTGTGCTAGAGACAATAAGGACAGACCTCCAACTCAATAAAGACAAAAAATTCCCTGCATTGTGGATGTGGTATGGTCGTAAAGATAAAAACTGGTTAAGATGGGCTGTGCACACTGCAGAGTGTTTTATGGACCTGAAAATCCAGACTAATTTCCAGGTCAACTATGCCATGCAAGGACATGAAATCATTCCAGATGAAGTCAATTACTTGAAGGAATGGGTTGAACAAATTATCCCTAATCCTGGGAGGGGAATTGAGAAAGAAACAAGCTAAAATATGTCTTGGTGATTGGATGTTCGGCAAAAGGAATTTCAGGATAATAATCCTTGCTAGAGACCCCTAAGGAAGGTACACTAACTGTTATTAGCTATGTAAGGATATGCCTTCCCAAAGGGTAAGGTATCGGAAACTTATTTTTCCCTTTAAATCCATCACTTCATCTTCAAACGAAACAGAGAGAAAGAAGTAAAGTTATGAACCAAATCATTTAACGCGCGGGGCGCTTATCCTAATTTGGAAGCTCATTTGCAGACAGGTCGCTTAATTATCTTTACGTATTGTGATTTTATATTTTTGACCACAATGCTAAATGAAAAAACAGCAACGTGCAACAACTGCCGGAGAAAGTACTTGTTATTCTTTGATCCTTGCAGCTATGACTCTTTCGGTGCTAACGAGAACGTCGTCAAGAAAAAAGTTTTTATGAGAAAAAAACTCTGCACTTGCGTTATATATCCTCGTACTTCTCTTAGACGTCTTCTGCAAACAACAACGGGAAATGAGCACATTCACNTCAGGTTTCACCCTGAAATTGCTGGAGTTTTCACACATTCCTCCATCTTGTCGCCAAGATCGATTGTGCTAGAGACAATAAGGACAGACCTCCAACTCAATAAAGACAAAAAATTCCCTGCATTGTGGATGTGGTATGGTCGTAAAGATAAAAACTGGTTAAGATGGGCTGTGCACACTGCAGAGTGTTTTATGGACCTGAAAATCCAGACTAATTTCCAGGTCAACTATGCCATGCAAGGACATGAAATCATTCCAGATGAAGTCAATTACTTGAAGGAGTGGGTTGAACAAATTATTCCTAATCCTGGAAGGGGAACTGAGAAAGAAACAAGCTGAAATATGTCTTGGTGATTGGATGTTCGACAAAATGAATTTCAGGATAATAATCCTTGCTAGAGACCCCTAGGGAAGGTACACTAACTGTTATTAGCTATGTAAGGATATGCCTTCCCAAAGGGTGAGGTATCGGAAACTTATTTTTCCCTTTAAATCCATCACTTCATCTTCAAACGAAATAGAGAGAAAGAAGTACAGTTATGAACCAAATCATTTAACGCGCAGGGCGCTTATCCTAATTTGGAAGCTCATTTGCAGACAGGTCGCTTAACTATCTTTACGTATCGTGATTTTATATTTTTGACCACAATGCTAAATGACAAAACAGCAAAGCGCAACGACTGCCGGAGAAATTACTTGTTATTCTTTGATCCTTGCAAGCTATGACTCTTTCGGTGCAAACGAGAACGTCGTCAAGAAAAAAGTCTTCATGAGAAAAAAACTCTGCACGTGCGTTATATATCCTCGTACTTCTCTTAGACGTCCGCTGCAAAACAACAACGGGAAATGAGCACATTCACTGCATTCTGGAAAACGTGAGGCGTGTGGCTTAATTTTGCGTACTTTTGGAGTTGAACCCTTCCTTGCGAATTCTTTAACCGATAGAGTAGATCCCCTGAGTGCTTCTAGATAATTGCAAGATTTCCTCTTAAATATTTAAAATATTACTAGGCGTTGTCCTTGGCGTTTTCGTTGTCAATTGCTGAACTTCGCTAATGTAATGCTTAATAAACCCAGTTTTGCCAGTAGAATGAAACGACTAGTTGATCATCAGTACGTCAGTTATCAAGATGAATCCTAAACAGCTCTAACCGCGTCGGAAGGTATCGCGAGTTTGGTTATTTTGTGGTGGACCAAGTCACGTGAAGGTTCAAATCCACAGTCTCGATTGAGCGTCGGGGACTGGCACAGAATTTTCAAGGCCTCAAATTCTCCTCCTGAAGTTGTTTTCTTCTTTAGCTATGATAGCCGCCTTCCTCTCTTCCAACTTGTGGCTTGGTGTCGATCTAGTAGTGTTAGAATGTTCCTTTAAACGGACGTTAAAGGGTCGCGCGGTTTCTCGAAAGTAGATCTTCTTACAATCAGCACTCTCTAATTTGTAGATGACGCCACTTCTTTCCATCGGTTGTGGGATCTTTAGGATGTACAAGTTGCTGTGTTGTGAAGGTGTTGAAAGGTGCATGGTAAGTGTTTATGCTCTGGTTGCGGAAGGCGCGAGAAACTTTCTCCCATACTTCCACATAGGGGAGAGGGACACTCGGGGTCCAGTGTTTCTGAGGAATTTTGCACATACACGCTTCATAATTGTTGTCACGCAAGACGCCTTCAAGATGTTCAATCTCGTGCGTTCTGTCAGTGTCTTCCTCTTCTGAGATAACAGTGTCGGCAGGATGGAAAAGTGTTCCAGCTATCGACCTGTTGTGACCCAGATGATGGCTGGAGTCCAAATCTGGATAGTGATTTGTGTAAGTAGGTTTGCGGTACATGGTAACTTTGGTGGATCCGTCATCCTTGATATGTACACTTGTGTCTAAAAAAGCGAGCTTGCCATCGGATACGGGCTCCATTGTGAGCTTGATGTTAGGGTCCCTGGAGTTAAGATACTCGGTAAAGCCCTCTACCTCATGATCATACTCATCCAACTTCAGAACGAGAATTCGTGAAGCCTTAGAAATTCTGTGCCAGTCCTCGACGCTCAATCTAGCTTGCAGAACAGGCGGATTAGCGAGACAGAGAGCAAACGCGATGCGCTCGTGGTCGCGCTCCGCGCTCGTGTATCGCGTTTCGTTCTCTGCCCCGCTAATCCGCCTGTTCTGCGGGCTACGCTCAATCGAGCTACCGGGATGTTTAGCCACGTGACTTGGTCCACCCTAACTCACTTGACAGTTCCCGAGGAGAAAGACGCTTGTAATCGCGAAAAACTTTGACTTTGCTTCGGTATGTCGTTTCTTATTATCCTTGTAATGTTTTTAAATTTGGTTGGCACTTGGATTTGCCGTGTTAAAATGTTCTAAAACTGCTTCTGAGGC